TTAAATAAAATATTCGGGGTGTTACAATTTTCCCACGCTTAGAGAATTTTTGTCCTAAAAAATTATCTAAAGGAAATAGAGTCGGATACAACTCTCTCATTTGACTTTCTAGCTCCCACGTCATGTAGCCTCCAACAAGTCCTTCCCGCACAACCTTCACTAGCGCAATCTCCTTTCCTCTCAAGTGTTTCACTTCAAGATTCTCTACTCTTGATGGAGATGCCTCAATGTTCAAGTTCTTTCTAACTTGCACATCGTCCACTTGAATCACATGAGACGGATCAGAAATATACTTCCTCAACTAAGACACGTGAAAGACACCATAAAGATTTGAAATAAACGGCGGTAGTGCAACTCTGTAGGTCATTTATCCTACTCGCTTCACAATAGGTAAAAAAAACACTAAAATACAGTGTGAGCTTTCAAGACTTCAAAGTTCGACCAACACCAGTTACCAGAATAACTCGCAAAAATACATTATCTCCCTCTAGGAACTTAAGTGCTTTCCTTCGTTTATAACAGTAACTCTTCTAGCGACTATGCGAAGCTTTTATCTTCTCTTAGATCATCTTGATCTTCTCATAGGTTTTCTACACAATCTCAGGTCCAAGGACTGCACTCTCACCTGATTCATACCAATATAAAGGTGTCAAACAGCTCATACCATACAAAGCCTCAAATGGTGTCATTCTAATAGTAGAATGGAAAATGTTTTTGTAAGTGAACTCAACAAACGGTAAGTAACTGTCTCAGTAACCTCCCTATTCCCAAACACAAGCTCTCAAAATATCCTTCATAGATCGGATAATCATCTTTGTTTAACTGTCTGTCTGCGGATGATAAACATGACTCAACTTTAGATTTGTACCCAATGCTTCCTACAAACTTTACTAAAACCTCGATGTGAATCTCGGATCCCTGTCCGAATCAATACTCAAAGGAATGCCATGCAAACTAACAAATTTATCAATATATAACTCGACTAACCTCTACAAAGGATAACTGATCTTAATCAGAATGAAATAAGTTGATTTAGTCATTCTATCAACAATAATCCAAATGGAATCCCATACTTTTGTCGTCTTTGGCAAACTCGCCATAAAATCCATAGAAATATTGTCTCATTTCCATTTAGGGATACTCAATGGTTGCATCAGTCCCGATGACTTATGCTGTTCAATCTTTGACTTCTGACAAGTCAGACAAGCGTAAAGAAATCCAATTACTTCCTTCTTTATTCATGGCCACTAAAATATTCTCTACAAATATTGGAACATTTTAGTGGCATATGGATGAATATTCAGATCGTTTCTATGACCTTCCTCCAAAATAATCTTCTTTAGTTTTGGTACGTCTAGTAGACAAACCTTGTCTCTGAATCTTCTCACACCATTCTTGTCGAGCCTGAACTCACTTCCTTTTCTTTGATTATTTAACACTAACCGGTTGATAAATCCCAAGTCGATTTTCTGACCTTCTTTGGTTTCTTCAAGGATGCCACTGGTCAACTTTAAGATGCCCAACTTCACACTGTTATGAGTCTCTTCATACACCAAACTAATGTCTTTGAATTGCTCAATCAATTCCAATTCTCAAACCATCAGCATCAAGATATGCAATGACTTCTTACTCAACGTATCAACTATAACATTGTCCTTATCCGGATGGTAACTCAAGACAAAATCATAATCCTTCAAAAATTTGAGCCACTTCCTCTGCCTCATATTTATCTCTTTTCGATCGAATAAATACTTCACACTATTGTGGTGAGTAAACACTTTAAATTTGGAACCAAACAGATGATGCCTCCAAATTTTCAACACAAACACAATGGTTGCCAACTCCAAATTATGCGTAGGATAATTCCTCTCATGAACTTTCAACTGTCTAGACACATAAACCACAACCTTACCATTTTGCGTCAACACACCACCTAGACCCATCTTTGAAGCATCACAATACACAATAAAGGACTTACTCAGATTCGGCAGAATCAAAATTAAAATAGACGTCAGCTTCTTCTTGAGTTCTTGAAAACTTTCCTCAAAATGCACATCCCAAACATAAGTTGGACCCTTCCGAGTCAACTGAGATAAAGGAAATGCTAACTTCGAAAAGCCTTCAATAAATCTCTTGTAATAATCATCCAAACCTAAAAAATTTATGATCTATGTGACATATTTAAGCTCTCTCACTACAACACTGCATCTATCTTTAATATATCAACAACAATACCACCACTAGAAATTATATGCCCAAGGAAACTTATCTCTCACAACCAAAACTCACACTTGGACAACTTCATATACAAATTCTTTTCTTGCAAGGTTTGCAACACAATTCTTAAATGACCTGCATGCTCTCCACTAGACTCAGAATATATCAAAATGTCGTCGATGAATACCATCACGAATTTATCTAGACAAGGATGAAAAATCCTATTTATACACTCCAAAAACACGCATGGCGCATTGGACACTCCATATGGCATCACAAAATACTAATAGTGATCATATCTCGTTCTGAATGCAGTCTTTGAAATATCTTCTAGTTTCACATGAATCTGATGATAACCTGGCCACAAACCAATCTTACTGAATACTTAAGCACCAACAAATTGATCCATCAAATCTTTAATTCTTAGCAGAGGATACTTATTCTTGATAGGGACCTTGTTCAACCGTCGATAGTCAGCACACAACCTCATGCTACCATCTTTCTTTTTAACTAGTAACACTGACGCTCCCCACGACAAAATACTCGATCAAACAAACTTTTTCTCAAGTAGGTCCTCTATCTGCTTCTTCAGCTCACTCATCTATGTAGCACACATGACTAAAACCAGGTACTAAGTCTATAGCAAACTCCACTCACGATCTGGTAGCAAATCACTGATGTCATATAAGAACACTTCATGAAACTCACAAACAATAGTTAAATCCGTCATCATTCTCTCGCTTCCCCCTCTCTATGACGCGAACACCATGAACACTTGAGCACTCTATCTCAAGTACATCCCTACTCGTCTCGCGGTCATGAAACTCGATTATGTACTCTCCTCGGATTCAAGAAACAATGCAGCCTCAATAACACCCACACTCATGCAATCAGCGGCGCGCTGAACCAACCCTCTACACCTGAAACATCTAAGAGAAGTAAAAGCTTCTTCCTCACCTATGTCAATCTCGTTCCTACTAGCAAGCAGTTAAAAAAAACGAGCACCGACAGTGTTTTGCACACATGTCACGCACCAGAGAACAGACAAAATTACAAAAATATGGTCGAATGGGCCGACCTACTATGATACCACTATGTAACACCCTAAACCATGAAAATTATATGAAAAGGTTTAATCAACAATTTAAGGTGTCACCAACGATGATCACCAAAAACTCGTCAAAAACATATGACAACATGCAACAGAAAATTATTTCATAACAACTTCATTTCAAACTTCATAAATAAAGTATTAAACTTTAAAACACCAAATCAACATTAACTCAAAACATAACAAAAACCCAGTTCCCGATGTTACAATATCATAACACTAAAACCAATTTTCTAATAAGTACTTCATCCCTTCACACAATATGGATGGGGTGTTTATGGAAAGTTTGAGTTCTTCAATGTTTTCGTCCAAACGAATCTCAATAATATTATCTGTTATAAACCAGAAGAGATATTCCCAAAGCTGGTGAAAATGTTTTACACTAATCTCAATTATGAAGAAGGGGGTTATCAAGACAGAGATACGTAAGCATGAAATTTCTATCTCTTTAGAAGAATTTTTTGTTGTATGTGATATACTCTGCTCTAACTCTTTTTACTCCGCTAGGTTTTCTAAATCAATTGATGATTTTGATTATCTCTATACTTCTTAATCACTTATAATTGATCCAATTATGGGTCATAGATTTCCCTTTCACCTGGGATATGTGACTCCAAGTATTCGTCTCGTCCACTATGTGGCAACCCACATTCTTATCCCAAGGAAATTCATATCGACGTGGTAATAAAATGGATACTAGCAAATAACATTAAAATCAATTGGGCTAGTGAAGAAATCTACCACATGATTGAATGTCGAAGGGAGGAAACATATGGTTACCATGCGGTGATCAGATTACAAGGATTCCAATGCATGTTGAATTCAATCTAGAATTGGAAGAGTTGGTTGATAATTCAGTCAAAATAGGGAGACACAATCTAGTCCAAATTCATTTTGAAGACAAAAATTGGGTCTTGGTGCAGAAAGGCTCGAAAGAATTTAAGAAAGATTCTCAATGAGAACAAACACCAACTTAACTGTAAGAATGACCATCAAATCTGAAGGATTTTTACAATGATATTCCTTAGGCTTCTACTACTAAATATCTCCACAACGCCATCATCACTAGCCAATAAGCTCACTCCAGAACCATGAACAAGATGGTTGCTCAAGCTGAATTCTTGTCTAGCAACCTTGCTAACTCTGGAGTGCCTTTGCCTTTTAAGCTATTTTATGATGATAATGATGATACTAAGTGGCTTTTTGTTTGTTTGCTTGTTGTATGTTTCTTTTCTACTCTGTTTGCTTTTTTTTTTTTGTCTACCCTTTATAAACCTTTTTGAATAAACTATTTTATAAACAACTCTTTCTTCTTTATTGCTATTTAATTGCAAGTTGACTAAAAGACCTTTATATTTGTAACTCATTTTATGAAATAACTCAATCGTAATAATAACAAACTCATTATTATCCGCAGTGGCTTACCACAAAGGAGATAATATTAGTTCATTGAAATGAGATTCATTCCTAAGCAAAACCACACCATATGCGCATGCAGTAAACAAATGTCTGATAATGTTCTAAGCAAAACCACGCCATATGCGCATGCAGTAAACAAATGTCTGATAATGTTAGGTCTGCTGCATAAGAAAGTGATGGCAAATTTTATTTTTTAAGAGGTTACCATAAATAAAGTACCAAATGAAATCAAGTGGAGAACATCTAGAAGTCATTATCTATCTTTGAGTTCCTGTTCAAATTGAAGCAACTTTTCCCGAATAGGCTGTAAAAACAACTTCAAGTCGTTGTATATTTCAACTTTATCTTGAGGTGCGATATCAGATGCGTCATTAAGTCTCACTTCCACCTGCATCGTGAAAAATTGCTGTAATGAACAAATAAATGATCAAGCAAATAACAAGTCATAAGTTAACAAAGCTTCCTTTTTGTGGACTGGAAAGTAACTTCAAGAAAGAATGACCGCTTATGCACTTTGGTAACGTTCTTACTGTAACTCATGTGAAACTTTAAATAGTGAATTATCTCAAAAAATGTCTTAAAAACTTGATCAAAGCCACAGTTCAAGTCAAAGATTTATGTTGGTTGGCTTAACCAACATAAATCTTTGTGTGTTCTCTATCTTTTTCCTTAACGTCCTTACACTTACAAATCTGGTTTTGGTAAGTGAAAATTTCTCTCATTTGAATAGATATAATCAATCCATTATATGGTATGTTTCTGATTCAAATTGAAATAATTGACAAGTAGTCAAGTACATATAGGAAATCACTACATGGATCAAAAATTTCAAATTCCAAATTGTTTTTTGCATCAAGATTTTGTTATATATTGGTTCACTGAACATAGAACGATTGCACTTCATATAATCTTATTTTGCATATAGGTTCAAGAAAATTTTCAGTTCCATTATCAATAAAGGGAAGGTTCAAAAATTTGTGAAAAGCTCTTAAATCTCAAGTTTAGCCACAATCCAACAAATATGACTTTTAATTATGAATATTGTTTGATATGACTGAGTAATGGAATTTGACACCAAAAAACTAAATGCTAACTAACCATTATTTATTTTGTTAAGAGTTCAAATCCAAATTAAATAGAGAAACAAATCATGATAATAGTAAAGAAACACGGTAACTAATATCAAGAAATTGTCTAAGATACTCCAAGATGAAACTAATCCTATGTGATATTCTAAGATGATATCAAGATATTATAACATATTTTTGTATCTTGTAAGGCTCCCTCACAAGCTAAAGCCTATCTTGTAAGCTTTAACCTTGTTACAAATGTGCCATTTAAAAGAAAGTAAATAAACTATTCAGTTCAAATATTTAAAATTGGTATATAGAATAAGGAATTTTACAGCAGAATATGCAGAAAGTATGTAAATTTCGTTGCACTCTTCCAAATCCCAACTCTAATTCTCACAACATTACTGCCCTCTCTCTCAACATACTATTACAACAACAACAACAACTAAGCCTTATCCCACTAAGTGGGATCGGCTACATGGTAACCCTCTCAACATACTATTCTCCATAAAAAAAAAACACTCTTTTTCATTCTAATCTGAAACAGTTTCTATCAGTGAGATTAACTAATATGGATCGAACAACGCCATAATATTCTATTGTAAATCATCATGTTTAATGTAAGACATTTAAATCCATATCCTTCCCAGCGTTTGACCTATGATTTTTCTTGATATCGGCCAACCAAAACTGTCCAACATTTGGTCTACCCTCTTCTATAAGCCTTTTTCACATAAGCCCAAATCAGCAAAGATAATTCTACCACCTTTTCCACAATAGGTGTGGCTATTAAGCAATAAGCTATCACAACATAAATGTGCACCAATGCACATTTTGAGAAAACACGTGGCCTCATACTTTCATCGTGTCATTATCAATTTCGTTATGTCACAAACAAAACAAAAAACCCAAAAACCCAATCAACAGCTAGAGATCTAGTTAAGCAATTTTCAATTTGAGTGTCTCAAAAGCGATAAAAGTAAAACCAGTAATAAGAGGTACCTGCAAGTCATCCAGTTCCCCAAATGAGATCTCTGGAACATCTATATGCCCCCCAACCAACTTCTTATTCCCTTGTATAATCCATTCCCCTATATCCATTTGCAAAACATGACTTGTAAAACAGTTAAACAAAAAAGCAAGATAACAAAATAAAGTACATACTCACCTTTCACTTTTAAGGACAATTCATATGTGAAACTGACACGTTTCTTGTTCCGAACAACCACCACAAGTGCCTGCAACAAATATATAATCATTAAGTACCAATCTATGATAGACATATATCTGTAAAACAGATCTAGGTTGAAACAGAAATCCGTAGCATTGTGCTAATTTAAGAAAACACGACAATGCCCTGGAATACAAGAATATATATAAAACTGTTTTGTTATGTCCGGTTAACTCAGCTAAGTTGGTAGTTGTACAGAGATATCAGATAGGTGAAACTTACATCTCCAACACATTTAGTTACATCTTCGACTTCGGCTCTGCCGGAGGAGAATGGTAAGGACCCCACCGAAATAAGCAACTCCTGAAAAACAAAAACAAAAACAAACTACATTAAACATGTGTAAATGTGAGCATTGTATGTACGTATGAGATTGCAAGACAGAAACCTTAATTCTTGGAATAGCCCAATAGTTAAGACTCTTCTCTTCCCATGTTCCAGCCTGTAATAAGAATGAATTAATCTGTGAATAAATAAAGAGATTATTAACATTAAGGAGTAAGAAAGAACGTACTCGATTCCAAGCAGAACCAAGCTGAGAATGAGAAGTGGGAGTTGTTGCATCTATTTTGTTATGAACGGGTAAAGGTGCTGCGTCTTCTGTGATTTTCCGAACCCAGTAAGTGTAGGAAGGTTTTTGTTGCTTCTCGTCTCCTCCAGATTCCATTGTATCTGATTTTTCAAACACCAAAAAAAACCTGTATTGTATTTCCACGGATGCAATTGCTACTTGCTCTTCCAGAAGTTTCCTTCCCCTACCTCGATTTTAATAAATACATTTCAAAATAACCTAATTACACTTTTCACCCTAAATTATTAGGGGTACTAGTATTTAATTTTGGTGTTTCTTCCTCTCCGAGATATAAGTTGGGTTAAGTGAGGTTTGATAAATCAAATAAAGTCGATAAAATCTATTTAAATTGATTCTAAAAAAGAGTTGAATGGGATTATTGGGTGAACATGATTTTTAAAAATAAAAAAAAAATTTTATTAAATCATATGTATTTTTTAGACACTATTCAAATTTTCTATATTATTTCTAATTTTTAGAGATATATCTCCGAACGTACTTTTTTCATATTTAAGAAATGTCATTCTGAATGGCGCCTCATGCATTTTTAAAGATTTATTCCAGAGATATATCTCCGAAACCATATCATGGTTATATTTCTGGAACAAAATTAGAGACAGAAATCAACACAAAATGAACTTTCCAAACATAAAATGAGCATTCATAACATAAAATGAGCATTACAATGATGATTTCAACAGAAAATTAAATACTACATTTCAATATTCGGGTGGACGTTTGCACATCTCCAAGATATCGTCGGCCAATCTTCGTAGTGTCGCTTCCAACTCAAGCAGAACTTTCTCTTCCAAACCGAAACACGCTCGCCACATCGCCATAACATCCGCTCGAGTTTTGAGTTCAAATTTGTCGAACACAGCGTTTCCTTTGTTGTCAACCAAGAGGTACTCAAGCTTAACAATCCTTCATGTGTCTCCGTAAGGTAGGAGATAGTGGATTCCATCTATGATATCGTCGAGGGGGTGAGATCGGTGAGCTTGAACGTCCTCCTAGGTGTAGAGGCGCTGAAGTATAAGACACTTGCGACATACCGACATATGTTTATTTTACAAATTTGAGACATTTTGAGTTAACAAACTCGGACTCGCAGACACCCGCCCCGAGATTAACGGGAAAAACCCAATTTAATTGGGTGCGGGTGCAAGAAAAGTCTGATTCTTAACTACGGGTGCAGGTGCGGGTGCAGGAATACATTAAGACTCGTTCGCACCCGCCCCCCAGATAATGCATTTTACTTTAATTCCTTTATTTTACTTATTTTAATATTCATTTATTAATTATATTTTTAATTAAATTATTAATGTCTTTATTGCAATTAAAGTAATCAAAATAATCAAATTAATATTCATTTATTAATTAAATTTTTAATTAATTAATTTATTAAAATAATCAATTTTTTAATCAAATTATTAATTTTTATTGCGATTAAAAAGAAATTAATTTTTTGTAGGTGGGGGCGGGGCAGGTGGGGTGCATCCGTTCTCCACTAGGGGCGGGTCTGGGCGGTAAATTTTTACCTCCGGTTTGATTTGGGGGCGGGTGTGGGTATAGTTAAACCCGTCCCCGCCCGCCCCGTTGCCATCCCTACTTCCGGAGATACATCTCTGAAATTTTTCCTGATACATTTTCAAAACATAATCATATGACAGAGAGTTGAGAAAGACCAAATAATGCATCAAATATGAACCAAACATGCATAAAGACCAAATATGAATAATGATTGAATATGTAACACTTCATTTATATTGAGACACACTTATATACAATTATTTGTCCGATTACAAAAAAAAAATCAAAACGAATCAAAACATGTGTCGCCGGATAAATCTATAGGTGGTACCCCCCCCCCCTTTATTTTTTGTGCATTCGATTCCTTTTCAATGTTGTTCGATCTATCGAATTCTTGCATCCTTTCTATAAAATGATTCAGCCACGCCTCGACATTTGCGGTTGAATGGGTCGTCCATTTCAGTGATGTAGGTGGTATGGGGCATCCTGGTTTCAAGTAAACTTGAACAAAATGACTTGATTTTGAAAGTCATCCAATACACATGATGTGATCATTTGGATTTCGGGGTGGTGGGGTGCGCAGTGGAAAAAAGGTTTCTGAAAACCTGTAGCGTATCATATCAATGCACACCTTATCATATGCAGGTGCAATTAGGTGACCCATATTCGGGAAGCTCATCCATTTTAACTCTGGTGTCAGACAGCTCAAGCAAGGAACAAGTGACTCATAAACCGCATCGAAATTTTCTTTTTTTTTCCGTACAACCGTGTGTATGATTCCTTATGCGTCTTCAACTCTTGGATAAGTTAATAACGGACAAGCGCATGACTATTTTCTCCTTCACCAAGTAAAGCCGAAACGGCTCGATAACCGCAATTACTGTCTCCCATAACATTGACGATACGATCAAAATATTTGTGCATAAAAACCAGCATTTCGTCAATGAATAGAATCTTTGGTGGAAGCAGCGTCAAACGTGGTTTGCTAATTCGAGCTCCTTTAACACTTTTTTGAGATTTTAGAGTCGGTGAGTCAGGAAATACTTTGTCAACGTGTTCAAAGTATGAAGGGGGACCGTATATTCGAGTTGTCATTTGGTGTAGGCTTCATTTTCATCAGAGCACCCTTCGTTTTTATCGGTTGAGAAGGCGGTTTCATGTCGTTGTTTCAGGATAGGTAATTTTCCTCAATTGTTCTTTGATGTGGAGTTTCATTTATCATCGATCTTCGAAAATATCTCTTGTTTCACTTCACATTTGGTCAAAATACAGATATTCAATTTACCTTCATACATGCATCCATCATCATCAAATCTAAGTCACTTCTAATGAGAGAAAACCTCCACCATTCTTATTGGCTCGCCAAGTTTCACTTTTTTAGTAATAAGACAAGCACATGGGAGACCATATGTTTTTACAATAGTGCAACCACACTTTGTACTATTAAAGCCTACATTATCAACTCGTTTGACCTCGTGAAAAATATAGTTCAACCCCGTCCGAGGAATGTTTCCCACCAAATGAGAATAACGGGTGTTGTCTTTGAATCAATGTTCTAAAACTGTGATGCTCCGACCAAATGTTGTTTGTATCTCATTATGTTGGTTTTGAATCATGTGGTTCACCAAATCTCAATCTTGACACAAATCCTCATTACTATTTCCCAACCTATTTTTCAAAGTAGCACGGGTTGACTCAACTCTATTGGTGATTGTATTTCCAAGGTGTCGGACATTATCAGTCCATACGCAAACTATCTTCTCCTTCACCTGATCAACAATGGTGCTTTCAACGTATTTCAACAAAGTTGGATACCTTTCAACACTTTTCGGAAATGAATGACATAATCGGCATATAACTCTTTTGTGGAAGAATTTATTATGTGATTCCATTCATCCATTATTTTCTCCACAATCACACCCGACTTCACCAATTTTCCACCTTCGGACTCTACTTGTTTCGTCCCTACTGCGGGTTTAACCCGACTTTTCACATTCTTTGTTATGTGATACTTACAAAGTAATGCATAAGAAGAAGGAAACACCTTTGCAACCGCATTCATCAATGCGATATCACAGTCTGTAACAATAACTTTAGGCATCTAACCTTGATCCTTCAAAAGCGACCAACACACCTCTAATGCCCAAGTAAAATTGTCCTTTTTTTCACACTTTAAAAATGAAAAACAATAGAGTATGTCTTCTCAATTGAGGTAACACCAACCATCTCAAATAATGGAAGTCTATACTTGTTGGTCTTGTAGGTAGAATCAAGTATGAGCACTGCCGGAAACGTGTTGAACAACTTTACTGAATCCGGATGAGTCTAAAAAATAGCTCTAATCGTAACTCCATCGTTGCAAGTTTGGTACCGGGACACGTAATTGTTATCGTCTAAGAGTTTCTACAGTTGTTGCATCTCAGTTCTCTCTCCCATAATCGCTTTGTTAGTGAGGTACTGAATGTTATACACTTGCTTGATGTTTGATATATTGTCGGCTTGAACCTTCCTAGTCCACTACGTCAATGGCAAAGATAACTTGGAAAAATCCTTCAATGAATTTTCGATAATTGTCTATAATCCACACAAAGCCTCACAGAACCTTCTTTCTTCTTAACTAACAAAATTGGTGCACCCCATGGTGACACACTCGGACAAAAGAACCTTTCCTCAAGCAGATATTTAAGTTGATTCTTCAACTTCTTTGATTCCGGTGTGGACATACGATATGGAGTCATCGCTACCAAACTAGTTCCAGGAACTAGGTCGATCGTAAACTCCATTTCACGTGTCGGCAGTAAATCACTTATCTCATCAGGAAAAACTTCCAGATAATCACAAATAATTGGCACACCACCAACTTCTCCACTTTATTAACACTCAAAGTTTTCATCAAAATAAACATCTCAACATCATCCTGCACCGACTCACCAAAACAATTCACTGCACACGTCATCTAAGCTTGCAAGACACGTCTATCCCATCCAACATGACCCCGCCTACTATCAACAAGAGATTAAGGGTGATTAGTTCCTCAATTTGTCAATAGACAGTCGAAAATCATGATGGGGCATAAATCATCTTTACCAAACTATAAGAGCGTTCATCGACACACTGAGCCACCACTCCACACTTGAAGCATCCTGGAGAAGCACAAGCTTCTCCCCCACTTGATTCAATCCCACTTCTGCAGACAAAGGTTAGAAAATAAACGTGTATCGACAGTGTTTTCACACACATGTCACATACTAGGGAACAAATAACATTAGACAACTTGGCCGAACGGAACGGCCTGCTCTGATACCACTAATGTAACACCATTTTCTACCCCACAAATATAATGGCAAATAAATCACATTTATCAGAGTAAAATATTTTAAACACAATAAAAATCACCTCAAAGAGTGTATATTTCTCAATAACTCAAATAAAAGTCAATGCTCTGTAAACAACGGGTTTTCCCAAAATTACTAAAAAATTGCTCGAAAGGCAGGAGAACTCAAAAAGACAAAATCCAAAGTTTTCCTTGCGCAACAACATAATCAAAATAACAATAATCAATAAAA